TTCTGTGCTGTAGCAGAGACCAGTAACACTGTTGATGAAAGCAAATTGAAGCTAACCATGCCAGGTTCCCCTAAGACTTTCTCTCAGTCCAGATTTTTTCCTTTTCTAGGAAAATAATCTCATTGAGCTTTACTTAATCTGCATGTAAGTCTTAAAACTCAGTGCAGACTGAGCTGAGGAAGTTTCAGTTGCTATCTCTGCTAGCTCTTGGATGTGTAGTGTTTTATCATCTTTGTTGCTATTGTGTATTTCTAAATTACTTTTAGCCATTCTAAGAGATTTTTGGGACTGACCCCTGCTCTTTGTTTTATTAATGCAAATCCAGCAAAACTCCACTAAGGCTAATTGAGTTACTGAGAGCTACCCCTGGGTGTCTGTGGGTGATTTCAACTTGTTCTTGGCAACCAGTCCTCTTTGTACTTCATCCTGTTTAAATTGTTTTTGCTGATGCAGTTAATTTCATTATAAACCAATGAGACTTACATGAACAAGGGTAATAGGGCTCTGATGTTAAATTTTGCAAATAATGATTTATTTCCAGTACCAGTAGCTACAGTTGCATCAAAGGTCAATTAACGATACTGTTAGAGTGGGTACCCTTTTAACTTGCTTGCTCTCTATATACTGAAAGGTGAGAAGGTAGGGGCAGCTGGTCAGTGGAGTAATAAGGATCGGTGTAAGTAGTGATGCTTTACTGATCTTGCTAACGAGGGAAAAAAAAAGAGCAGTATTCTCCTTGCCAAATGTGGTGGCATCAAGCTCAAATGCAGTTGTATTAAACTAAAACCTTTTCTGCCATGTTTTCTAGGGACTGTAATGCAGGCTTGGCTTTTGCTAGAAGTTGATGCAAATTTTCTTGTTTATACCTACAAATTGCAAGTGTGAAATCAGCTATTTAAGAGGCTTTTAAACTTCTAATGGTTTGTATTTCTAGGGAAGAACCTTGCACAACCCCTCTGCACGTGCAATCTTGCCCCAGTATGGTCTTCCATCAGGCGAGCTGTAATGAGTGCTTGCACATTTGAACTGGGCATTGCCAACAGCTCTGGTCCATGTGAAATGGAAAAATGCCACTTGCCTTGGTACAAGTCCTACTTTTTTGTGGGTAATTGATCCAACTACTGTGATTAAACCAGAAGGCCATTAAAGCATTGTTGAAATAATCACCCTCTTCTCTTTAGGGAAGAGAACATGTTAAATGAATAAACTTGATCAACCTCAAACCTAGCAGGTCCACAGCTCTTATTGGCAGTAGTATCAAGGAATAAGTCAAGATTGGCTGAGATCTTAAGTTGAAAGGTCTTACTTTATTTTCTAACAGAACAGACTAGATGTTTAGTCAGGCTTCCACATTGCGAATGTGGGAAGGAAAACAACATAACCCTGATCTCTACCACCTCCTAAAATTACAGGTATCCTCTCCAAAGTAAGTTTACTTTCACCTCTGTTTTCAGAGAGCTTGTTTAAGGATGTCCTTGCCCTTCTGAGATTCAGTCCTGTCCTGAAATTTTTTTTGCCTAAGTACTTGAGATGTCCATCTCAATTTCAGAAGGGAGGTGGCATAGTATTGACGGTGTCGTGATCACTTTTTAATTAGGATAATAGCAAATTTTTTTTTTCAGCCCATTCATTCGACCAGTATCTTGGCATCAAGTTCTCACCGGTGGCTTTTCAATGCAGTGCCAAACAAATGAGAGTCTGTAATCTCAGGAGTTCTGGGAATCAATTTAACATGGCTCTTGTTTGAAGTCAAAGGGTGCTATAACCTCTGACTTAAATGGGAGTGCTCTAAGGTCAGCAAAGCTTCTGGAAGCAGCCCTGGAAAAGTAGCAGTGTGATACACCTTTGAGTACAGTATGGAATTTTATTTCCTTTTATATGTCCTCTTAATCAGGATGACAGATAAAGAGGCTATTAAAAGGAACTGTCATGTTATCCAGCCACTTACACACATTAGCAGCTTTAAAATTAATAATGCCTACTCCAGAAAAAGACCTGGGCTTTACTGAGTGAACTCAGCTTAGCACTCAGTTGTCAATAAAATCCCTAGCTGTAAAGAAAAAAAAAAATAAATTGGAAGGGCCTGCAGTGTGCTGTGCTCTAATCTTGTTTGCATCACTACTCTTAAGTGTGAAATGGAGGGTTTTTTTAGCACAAGGTCATCTTGTGGTGGTTGTACCATCTATTAGAAGAATGATAAAGCTTGTACATGCCTGGTGCTTCCAAATGACACTAATGCAACCAAAACTGATTATGGTAGCTTTGAGGACCTCACTTAGAGTGTTCATCCAGTTGGAATCACTGCATCTGGAAATGGTAATGCAAAATTAGTGATCTGGAAGCAAGTGGCTTGACTTGTAAGGTTTGCGTGGAGAGGGGGAGGAAGAATGGGCAAATAAGAACCTTTTGTTTAGACAAATGCGTAATGAATTAAGGAGAAACACAGCTTGAGCCCTCTCATTTTATCTCAAATATGAGAACAGGCATATTTCCCTTTTTTTGCTGATTTCTTTTTTTATTATGGTATGTGAATCCCTTAGTTCTTTGATACGAAATCCTTCTAGCATGTAGGAGTTGCTGAAGAGCAATGAGCAACTCGGGAAGAAGTCAATCTGAACAAAGTCTGCAGTTAAAGGACGTACTGGTCTCTGTCACTTAAATTATTTTAGTTTGCTTTTTTAAGTTAGGAAGCCTTCCTCCATGGATAGATACTTCTTGACTGTTCACCTTAGGGTTGTAAGCACCTTTCTCAAACATCAGTTGCTAACTGCATCAGTGCTAGACCGTGATTCTGATGACAACTACGTGCCATTTGCCTCTTTTCCTTGTGCCTAAGGCTCTCCTGTAGCTGTTACCCTCTGTGTGTGTTGTCTTGTCTCCTTCCAGGTGATACTCTTACGATGTATTAGTTAAAATTAATGAGTGCTGATCATGCAGACACTGGCTAGACAAATGGTCCATCTGCATATTTCCAGTTTTTCAAGGAAACACGTCTGTTATCTTGTTCTTCCAGATGCAATGAAAACAGGACACATGTAGATGAGTCTCTCTTCTTCCTTTCATGGAGGATTGTCATGATGTGTGACAAGGCACTTTGGAGCATACAGATTCCTCAGAGGACTTGGCAGTGCAAAGTGGACAGACATACGTATGAAAGACAGACATAACCTATTTTGCATTTTCTGCTAAAATAGACGTTCCACTAACATCAGTCATTTTGATTGCTTGATTTTTTTTTGAGGGAAGTAACAGTAAAAAAAAAAAAACCCCACATCATAGTCTTTTGCATTCACTCAATCTTTTATTACTTTCGTATCAAATTTTCTTCATCTACTGATGCTGGCAGTGGATGCTCAATTTGTGATGTACTTATTGTAAAAAAACCTCACTCTCTAGTGAAAGTCCTTGAAATTGAGCTTTTGATGGTAGATTGAAATAAAGCATGCTCGTAATGGATGGACAGTTCTGTTCTTAAGACTAGATGAGATGGTTTTTCCTTTATTGCAAGTGGCACCATTAACATCTGTATTTTCTTGGAAGGAAAGAATAGCAGTGTAAGCTAGAGGCAAATTGACACAGGAAGTCTTGTTGAGTTGTGCTGAGAAAAAAATGTTGAAATAACTTTTATTTTTGAGTTATGACTACTTTGAAAATAAGTTATCAGTGTTCATTGCTGTTCTCAGCAATGAATATGTAGGTTGCTTTTCAGAAAAATACATGACTAGGTTGCCCTTTGAGTTGTGTACAAGTTCCTGTTAATTTTCTTTGAAGGAATGAACAAGTGCAAATCATCGACCTGATAGTTGCACGTGGAGGGAAACGTGGTGGTGTAGCATTCAGCCAGTTGTGGTTTTTCTGCGTAAGTTTCTCTTTTTTTGATATAGGTACATTGGAGGACTTCTAGCAACTAAAATATGAAGTCCTGTTGCGTTTTGTGAGATTGTACGAACTGGTGGTAGGCTGCTAACAGTTGGCTTTCAAGATCTCTCTGGATTAGGTACTCGTATCTGTGGTGCCATGGTATCCAAGTTCCTTTGTCAGTGATACTTCCCTTCATAGTCTGGTGCTTTCTTCCTTTTTTAGGCTCAACCCCCCACATTTTACTTCTGATTTTGTTTAGTTTGTGTTTTTTTAATACCATGGATTTCACATTTGCAGAGTAGAAATAAGTTGCCTGAGTAAGAAAAGCTGTGCAAGGAGCGAGGTACTCTAAAACTTACAACACTGGACAGCACTGTAAATCCTCACGGAACCGTTTTCCAAATCAGCTTTGCAAACTTTCTTTCTCGGGTAATTTTTATTAATGAGTGCAACGTACGTGCAGGCAAAATGTTCCATCCTCGAATGGGCGACCACGGCAGTTTCCCTTTCCAAAGTGAGGTCAGGCAGTACGTTTAACTGACGTGAGCGATACGTTAGCATCAGCACCTTCTGTAGTGGGAAAAACAACTCGCCTTAAACCAAGGTAAAAAACCACACCGACTCCAAAAGACCATCTCATTATGCAGCAGTGGTAACAAAAACAAATGCCACTGTTAAACCCTGGCGTAAATCTCCAGTTTGTGCTGATCTTGGAGACCCTGAAATCCCATCTGATTTGTTGTTTGAGGCCATGGCTGTTTGGAAGCAGCTTTGTGCTTGCTTCGTAATTGCTCTTTATCAGGCAATTGCTTTCATTCCGTAACTGCGGAGTTGGTTCTACACGCTGGCTTTAAGCTTCCAAATGATCAGCAATTTGACATTAAGTGGTTGACCTTTAGTGGGTAAGAGGAAAAGCTGATAATTCCTGGTGTTTACAGAACTGATTTTAGTGTGATATTGCTTCCCTCCATCTAACTTGCATCTTCAACTACTGTTGTAAAATTATTTTTTTTTTTCAAGTTTAAAAGCGAATCGCTAAAGCACGCAAGCTTCGATGCCATGTTTTGCATTGTGGGTAATCCTGTTGTTTTAGTGCAGCTCTTTAGTGTCTGAAATGACATGCAAGCCTCTGTGAAACCATGGAGCCCCTAATCTTTGCCTTCCTTATTGCGGTTTTTGTAGGGGTACAAGCTTGTCTGCGGACGGCAGCGCGAGAAGAAGAGGAGAAGTATGAGATCCAAGGTGGCCCCCGAAGAGGCCGCCTCAACAGAGAGCAGCTGGTGGGTTTTATTGCTTGAGACAGATTGTCTTAATGACCTTTGGTTCATGCGTTCGTGCCCTTTGCCACGTGTGCAGGTGCAGCAGATGTAAAATTTTAATGTGGTCTTGTACAGAAACTCGATTATGTGCAAGGTGACGGAAAGAACTGCGAACACCCATAAAGCTGTCATTTTTCTCCATTAGTGGGTACCTTCCTGTAACCTTGTCAGAGGGAACGCCGTGTTACATTCACGGAAGAAGCTGTGCAGGACGGGAAGTGATGCTGCTGTGGCCTTCTCAGCTTTAGACTCTGGTTGAAATGATCTGGAAGTTGAAAGAAAAGTGTTTTTAATGACTCGTTTCCATATAGGGCCACTTTTATATTTAACTGGGTTAATTTCTGATTGCTTTCTGGATTACACTGGAGAAGTTCATTAAATGTATTGTAACAGTAGCTGTAAATATTCCTAGCTCATAGTTCAAACCCTGTTGTGCTGGAAAATATTGAAGCATAAACAAGAATTTACCATGTAAGCAAGCTTTTCTTGATTGCATGCTTATACTGAGGACCTTACATGTTAAGTTACTGTCGTAGCTTCCAGTGTCAGTTATTTTAAATTGTATTTTTTTGTAGGCACTGATTGTTCCTTTCCACTTTTTTCCTGTGTGCTCAGTTGTGAAGTCCTGTATTGATCCTTTTTTTTTTTTTCTCCCTTCTACTTAGCTGCCTAAGTTGTTTGATGGATGCTACTTCTATTTTTTGGGATCTTTCAGCCGTCACCAGAAGAGTGATCTGGTGGAGCTGGTCAAAGCAGCAGGAGGACAAATTCTGGTTAGGCAGCCAAAACCAGACAGCGATGTGACGCAGACCATCAACACAGTGGCCTACCACGCAGAACCTACTTCTGACCAGAGATTTTGCACTCAGTATGTCATCTATGACGTCTCTTCTAAATTCAAGCCAGAGAAAATTCGTCAGGGCAAAGTCTGGATGGCCCCCTCCAGCTGGCTTATAGACTGTGCGATGTCATTTCAGCTCCTGCCTGTAAACTGAATATCAATGTCTCATGAGCAAGGTTTTAAAATGTGGCGAATTTTGAGCAGTTGGAACACTCTGGTAAACAGTGGTCTGAAGCTATGATTGATGTTTTGCACTTAGGAACACACATGAGAGCTTTGACCGTGTAAATGAGTTACTAAGATCACTGATATGCTGGAATAAATGAGCTTACAATAGAGGAGAGAGATAAATACAGTGTGTTGAAAAATGTGCCTTGGGTTATTGAGTATGCTTTATTTTTGCTTTTAACTTAACTGTAATAATCACTGACATTTTGTAACTAAGATTTTGCAAAATGAAACCTTTTGTGTGCTTGATTTAAACCAGCCCTTTAAGTGACAGAGCATGACCCCGTTTCGTTCTGTTTGCTACCCATTGACAAGGATCTACTGTATGTGTCAAGACTTCCCAGCCAGGCCAGAATTTGTATTTTTTTTTAACAAAAAGACTCTGCATTTGAACATAGTCGTTTGCCTGTATAAAAACCTCTTCTGTTAGATGACATGCGATGTTTCTTATAACTTCTTACAACTGAATTTTGCAGGAAATTCTTGGCATGGGATAAGCCTTATAGAAATTAAAGTAGAAATAATGGAGCGAGTTTATTTGAAAGTAGACAATTTCAAAAACACTATATTTAAAAAACCTCAGTCAAAAATTTATTATTTGTAGGAAAAGTAATAATTTATTCACTTCTGTCCTCTTTCACGCTTGTAAATGTGTAACTCTGATTCTATTTTCTGAAGGTTTCTAAGTGTCAAGATCCTTATTAAATTATTAAAATAAAAATATTTTTGCAAGTATGGATGATTGCTATCATGGTTACTTTAATGAAAAAAATTAATGATCACAAAAGAATTATGCCTCACTTTGCACAATTGTACTTAAACTTAGCTGGCTACACTGGAGCAATATTTGATTCTCTCATATTTGTTACAAAAAATTTTTATTTCTTGTAATTGATCATCCTCACTGTGCTCTTAAGTAAGGTCTTGCGTCTTCTATGCTGCCTTAATTCGTGAATTCATAATTTAAAAATGGTGTCTTGTAATAATATACAATGAGAATGATGATTATTGCATAAAACAGTTTGTTTGCTTTTGTATTGACTGTAATAATAAAATTTCTAGTGCCAGTAAGTTTGGAGTATCCTATTGCACGAGCTTAGCTGCAGAGTAAGTACATAGTCCGTATGGATCTCGACAGGGAAATGGAAATGCAAGTACTTTTCCATGAACTCGATGCAGCGGTGAAGATGGCATATCCAGCTGGCAGAGATAGAGACCATCGTTCTCTGTCACCATTGCCGTGGGAGATCCTGGGCCAGTTTTCAGTAGCCCTGTAAAACTTGGAGCTCTCCATGTGTAACAGGTATCATTTTCAACAGCACCTACTGGACTTCAGCAGCTGGAGCATCTTGATCCATCACTTAAGCTGGACTGAGTCATTGCTCGTCACAAAAAGCAGTTCTCGAGTGCTTGCACGTCCGTGTGAGCGAGCAAAAACGCAGAGCTCGTTAGTAAGTGGAACAACCCCAGGGATGGATGTGGTTGGGGGTTTTGTGCAGATAAACACTGGCAGCAGATGAGGTTCCGAGTCCATGCTGCGTGGACTCGGCTATTTTGTTTGAACAATTGTGGCACCACGTTGTAGCTTGGCGTTTCATGGCCCATCAATATCCCTAATGTGTATTCTCTGCAGAAGTGGCAGTGAATCTCCACAAAATTCTTAGGAATGAGCCTTTCTGCTGCGTACCAGGAAGGTACATCACAGGTACGTACACCAGGAGTTTGGCCCATCAGGAATCCTATCCATGTCCTAAAGCAAAGGCAGCAGACGTACAGATCCTAAGAGCCATTGTTCCTTGGCAGCTGAAAAGAAATTCAGTTAGAAAATTGCCATTATTTTTTTTTGTTAAATTTTTATTAAGCCATACTCTGAACTTTTCCTCAGGTCTGTCTTGCTCTTTTGAACCAAGTTGTGTTTTCAAGCAGACTCACTATCAAATCCTTCCGTATCGTACTGAGGAGCGATCCTGCCTTACCCTTCTCAGCGAACTGCACTCAGGACCAACTCTGGCCCATCTCCAGGTCTCTCCAGGAATTCAGAGTTTGGGTGTGATCAACTTAGGTAGGCTTAGGCACCTCGGAGAGCCTCGGAGAACGGCAGTAAGTAGACTTGGATGCCAAAATTGCGGCAGGTGTCGAACGCTACTGAAGCAACAGGTGAGCACACAAAAGCTCAAGGTCAGCAAGACATCCTGCTTGATTCACTCTTGCTGATAGTTGAAAGCAGAGGGACAGCACCTGAGAAAACTCGTCTAAAAACCACAAAGAAAGTCCCGTAGTAAGGATAAATCAAGTCCCTTAATCCATTGGATGGATTTTGGCTTATGAAAGCGAGGTTATAAAATCATGAGGTGTGTGGTGAAGGGTGTGTAGGGATCGTTTCTCACTGTCTCTCCTGGTTGAAGAACAAGGGTGCCTTAAAGGAAGCTTGTAGGAGGCAGGCTCAGAAATAGAGGAGATATTTCACACGGTGTGAGCAGACTTGTGGCACCATCAGCCGTAGCCCGTTTCGGGTGCTGTGTGTTTTGGCACAGTGTGAAGCAGGGAGTAGATGAGTTCATCCAAGAAAAGCTGTTAAAGGTCAGCAAAGAACCTTCGTGAGAACATGAATTTATATTCGTGTTCTCCTGCT